CCCTCTCCCACTCCCCCTGCTTGTGTTCCCTCTCTCGCTGTGTCTCTCTCTGTCAAATAAATAAATAAAATCTTAAAAAAAAAAAAGAAAGAAAAGAATTCCATGTAAATGGAAACTTCCATGTGCAATGCAGCAGTGTGGATTCTGGTCCTGAGAAGGCTCTCTATTTATTTTCTTGAACACATTCAAGGTGAAATTCTTTTTTTTTTTTAAAGATTTTATTTATTTATTTGAGAGAGAGAGAGTGAGAGAGCACGAGAGGGGGAAGGGTCAAAGGGAGAAGCAGAAACCCCACTGAGAAGGGAGCCTGACGTGGGATTCGATCCCAGGACTCCAGGATCATGACCTGAGCCGAAGGCAGTCGCTCAACCAGCTGAGCCACCCAGGCGCCCCAAGGTGAAATTCTTTTGAACAAACTGGGTCTATTGGCAAATCTAGTAAATTCAGCCAAATGACCACTTAGTGGATCCACCCTTTGGCAATCTGGCTTTTGACAAATCAATGACTTCGTGAATTGGCTTTTCACAAAGGGATTTTCAGGATAGCTGGAGGGACCTACCCCAACATAGTCTCCAACAATTAGCAACACCTTCCTTCGCAGGGACGTGGAGAGTCCCCCTCAAACTCTCCCCACAGCAGCAGGAGACCCGGGATGCCCCTCCCCACTCTGATACTCCACCCCAACCTGGATCTCCAGGAGACATTCCTCTGTGTCCAGCCTGAATCCTCCCCCTGCTGCAGACCCAGCCCCATTTCAAGGCCTGAGTCTCTGCTCTAGCCCAGCTCTGCCACTTCCTCGTTGTGTGACTTCTCGGAGCCTCTGTTTCCCTGTCTGTAAAATGGATTGCTCCTCTCTTGTGGCCCCATTAATGCGGGGGAGGGAGGGTAATTAAAACCAAATAAAAGAGTGCACTCTTAAATTTCTTTCATAAGCTGTAAAGTGCAGTGCACATAAGAAGTGGCCCAATAAATAAAAGGTCCAGTTGACTGAGAGGGCTCTCCCTGCCTCCCAGAGCAGCCACCATTCTGGACGTTAGATAAGGGTGCTCTGCCTTTCAGCTTCCAACCACACGAGGGCGATAGTGACCATTTGTTGAGTTGGGTCTCCCTTCCTGCCTCTGAATTACAACCAGAAGCAGAACAGGTAGAACAGAGAAATGTCTAAAATGGTTGTAGATTACAGCAATCCTTCGTACCTGCATGACACTTACTATGCAAGAAACTCTTTGCTTCCAGGGGCAGGGTAACAGGCTTGGGACCCGCGCTGGGACAGGAACTGGGATCAGAAAGACCTTTGTTCCCACTGTACCTAACTACTAACCTGACAAGAGTCCCACTTGTTCTCCCCCGCTTTTAAAATAGGTTTTGTTACTATTAACAAGAATAATAACAGTGAACATTTATCAAATGCCTACTCTGTGCCTACGTTCAGATCCCAGGTTCTCAGCCACACAGTGAAGTGGGAGTTGTTATCCTTTTTTTCCAGATGAGAAAACTGAGGCCCAGTGAGAAGTAATTTGCCTACGGTAGCATGGTTGAGACATGCTGAGCTAGAATTCAAAATCATGTTTGTCTGCTCCAGAAACCTGGCTCTTCCCATCTAAGCCACCCTCCACCTACATGTGCTCTGTGTCAGCATCTTTACATGAATTATCACCTTCATCATCCTTACTCTCTTAGATGAAGCTGTGGAGTGGGAGTTAGCATCCTTTTTTGACAGATAAGGAAGCTAAGGCTCAGAGATGTTAAGACTCTTGCCTGAAGACACACAGCAACGAAGTAGCCAGGCCAGGATTAGACCTGTGCAGGCCAGTCTACTGCTAGAGCTCAGGGTCTTTCCACCTCAACCCTCCATGCTCCCCTCTCATAAGGATTTGGATACCACACTTTGCCACTGCACTCCTAAGGAGGGTGTCAGGTCGCCCCAGCCTAGTGTTGAGTGTCTCCCCTTCTGACCCAGTTCCTGGGACAGTTAGAAGGAGGGCAGCGCTGAAGACAAGGGGACACTTCTGCCTTACATACCTTGGGAATCAGAGCTCCCAGCGTGGACGTGGTAAGAGGAGGAAGCTCTTCAAACTGCAGGACAAGAAGGGTCATGTGAGTCCCTGAGGTTATGGGGACAGATGGGAGTTGCTAACACAGTGATTAAACTCCTACACACCCTAAGACAACCAGTGGGGGGCATCTTCTTCTCTTTAAAGACCACTTGGGGGGCCCTGCCCGTCCAACAGCAACCACCATACTGATCACGGTAGCTGTTTTGTGGTTAAGTGGACAGGGCCAGCCACTTAAGCTCACCACAGACCTGACTCTTTCCCCTCTAAATGTAATTCTTGATTAAAACAAGGTGAGCATCAGTGAGTCCATGTGCATAACTCAGTGTCCACTAAATGCATAATTCTGCCATATCTTTGAACAGCCTGTACTATTATTTACTTAATGTTTTCTTTCAATTGACTTGCTTTTGAAAACCTCAAATACTAAAAAATGGAAAGCCAGTACCATTTGACAGAAAGAAATGGCAACTGGAAAAGTAAATACAATAAAAACAAAATAATGCCATTACATTCTGCTTGGATATCATTGTCTGTGGAGGGCTATGGGTATGAGTTCTGTTCTCTCTGAGTTAAAAAGAGGATACTTAAAAGTGCAAGAGAGGGTTAACTATATACTGGCACTAAATGGAGACTTTCCTCTTGATGGAACCAAGAAGGACACAATTCATATGGTGTTTTTTTTTTTTTTTTAGAACATCTTATTCTTAGCAGATAGACATAAATTTATGGAGTGAAATGTCATGTTTCCAAAAACTTAAATTGTTCAACAATAGCTAGCTAGCTAAGTAGATAATAGATAGGTTAGATAGATGGATGAATGGAAGGATGGATGGATGAGAAGATGGATAGATAGAAGGATGGATGGGTGGATGGATGGTTGGATGGATGGATGGATAGATGGATGGATAGATAGATAAATGGAAGGATGGTTGAATGGACGAAAGTTGGATGGAAGGAAAGAAGGATAGAACGATGGATGTATGGATGAGTAGATGGGTGAGTAAGCAGATGGATGGGTGGATTGGTATACATGAAGCAAATATGGCAAAATATTAACTGGTGAATCTGGGTGAAGGATATTTGGGCATTAATTGTGTTATTTTGTAACTTTTCTGAAGGCTTGCAATTTTCACAAGAAAAAGTTTGGAAAGAAAATTACTCTGGATCATACCTTATTCTTATGTATGATTTAGTTTTTAATATCAATGTTTACCAAGTAAAAGGATTCTAAGCATTTATATTGGTATACATATATAGGAACATATATCATGCTTTTAAAGAAGGATTGGCATAAAATTAAATAGAACTGAATATGATTTGATGTTATTTCATGCCCTGGCTGTGAGTCACCTAAAATACCCTAGGCACCAAGCTTTGGTAAACACTGACATAATCAATACATGTCCATGAGTGGGAAATGAGTGGGGGATGGACTGTCTACTACTGTTCTTGCTTTAAAGCAATCTTCCCAAGTCTGTGGGGACTAGACAGGATCAGTGGGGAGCTCTTTGTTGCCCAGCCCAGCCCACCTCTCGATGGGGCCATGACTCACCATGCCGTCGGTGATGTCGATATCCAGTGCCCCCTGCTTCTGCAGGAGGGCCAACACTGAGCCCAGGAAGTCGGCAGAAATGGCCAGTTGTGAATTGGTGTTGTCGCCCATGGGGGGCAAGTCTGGCATCTTTTGTCTGGGAGACATAGCTGGCCGCCCCAGTGGATAGTCAATGAGCTCTCCTCCAGCCTCCCCAACCAGAGTCTGGGGAAGCAGAGAGGAAAGGGGTCACAGGGAGGGGTACAGGGAGATGAGTGGAGGAGGAGGCTGAGACTGGGTGAGGTCCTGAATCTGCCGCCAGGCAGCCTTCCTCAATTAAGCCCACTGGGACTGAGTTATCCTTTCTTTTATGGCCCCCAGCTCTCCTTCATTTGTGATGGAATGGAACCTCTTGCAGTTCTCACTTTATGACCACTTACAGCCATCTTTTGCTTTCAATACACGTGTGACATAGATTCTTCCCCACTCCATCCTGCCACAACAAGTCAGCATGTTTATGGATCTGCAAAATGCCATGGCGTATCTACACTCTAAAGACCAGACACCTTTCCACGGTCGGCAGATGCTGTGTGGTCTGCACCGGGGACTTCTCCACCTCATGGAGAGTTACTCTGTCCCTACTGACTGGGTCAGGCCCCACCACCATCTCATGACCCCCACCGTGGCACCTTCCCACACCCTGTTCCCTCCCCCACACTCTTCTCTTGTTATGGCCCATTTATCTGGCAGGTCTCAGCTTAAGTGTCACTTCCTCCATGAAGCCCTCCATGACCTTCCTGGGTACATCCTATCTCCTTGCTTCAGGCTCTGATATCCCGGGACCCTCTTTCACGATCTTTGTGTCTTTGTTTGAGTCACTCTTGGATGGCCTATCCCCTCCAATAGATTGTAAGCTCCATTAAGGCAGAGATCTTACCTTGTTCACCAATGCACCTCCAGCCCCAGGCCGGAGTCTGGCAAACAGCAGGTGACCAACAAATATCTCTTGGATGGCTCTTGTTTATGAATGGACTAGGTGTGCCCATATATGTGTGCACAAGTAGGCTCTGTCTGTGGCAGCTTGGGTGTGCACCTGCAGCTCTGTATCTGATGGAGCATTGGGCGGGGGGCGGGGCGGGGGGGAAGCATCCGTGTTGGTACAGCGCGGGGGGAGCACGCATGCGTGTGCCCTGTGCACTTAGGGGCCGGATTCGGTGGTGTCCCAGAACCAGCTCACGCCAGCTCATAAGCGCTCCTGTGACATTCTACGCTTGTCTTCCCAACTCTTCATTCAGTGATACCAAGTTGGTAGCTTAAAATGGGCCATGGTGGCAGTATTTAGACCATGGAAATCCGCAAATGCTATGAATCAGGACTTTTTTTTTCTTTTTAATCACGGATTGCCGGCTGCTGGCGCTTATCAGCACGCTACCGGCCGGATTCATTCCTCCAGGAAACCCAAGTCCGTAGTAGCAGAAGGTAGACTGCTTGGGTTTAGATCCCAGGCTCACATTTATTCGCTGTGTGACCTTGGGCAAGTGGCTTAACTTCTGTGCCTCCGTTCCCTCAATAAGAGTTCACCTTATTATATCATACGGTTGCTGTGAGGATAGACTGAGTTAATCTACATCAAACACTTAGAATGTGCCTGGAAAGCAGTAAGCACCTCTAAGTGTTGGCTGTGACTGTGTTTTCTGCTGTGGCTCCTAGAAGGTCCTCAAGTCATCAAAAGAGGGTCCTGTTCAAACGTTGCTTCGCAGACATTGAGTAGAAGCCCATGCGTCTGGCAGTCACACCCCTGCCCACCTCCCCTTGGCCCGAGGCCCCGGCACTCACATTGAGGTCCAGCTCCAGGAATTCCCCAGTCACAAGCGGGAGGCTGGAGAAGGTATACTGGACACTTCCCAATATCCCCAGAGGAACCAGAGCTGCAGGCAAAGGTGGGGGTCACGGGGAGTCCCCTTGACCTTCCGAGATGCCTTCCCTCCTTGTGCCCCAAAGCAGGCAGAGCAGCAAGGCTCCAGACCCAGACAGCATGAAAAGAGCCAGAGTTCTGGGTTCAAATTCCAGCTCTGCCTCTTCCTTGCTGTGTGACCTTAGGCAAGACACTGCACCTCTCTGAACTCCAGTTCCCTCCTCTGTAAAATCAGCTTAATATAATTCCTTGGACTATACTGTGGGGTCCATGAGAGTCTGGATATCGATAAGCTTTGTAAACTGTGAAGTACTGTGACCAGGGAAGAAGGTTTAAGGTTCCACGATGTGGTGCTTAGTTGAAGCGTGGACTTTCCTGACTGCTTGTGACCAATAGCCCCATCATCTGGGCTCTTCCTCCCTTGTTCCTGGCCACAAAGGGAGAGAACTTTACCTGTCTGGGAAAGCCATCCTCAAACTGCTTGGGGTCTCGAGAGATGGGACTGGCACCCCAGAGGGCTGCGCTGTATGGCTGTAGAAACTATAGCCCCTCATGAGTCAGGTGCCTCCATTATGTTGTGGTGGTCTATATGAAAGGAGATCCCTGGAACATGCCGTGCGTGAACTGCACAACTATATGGGGCAGGTTTGCCTTCAGCAATGTTCACTCAGAAATCTTGGATCGTGGGGTGGTGTTGGAGCCTGGTTCTGAGGACCCGGACAGTCTCCACGGTGTCTCCTGCTCTTCGCTCTCCAATCCCTCTGCGGGATGAAGCCAACCCCCCATTGTAGAGATGAGGAACCTGGAAAGTCTTTCCAAGTCCACACCGGTGTCAGGGCAGAGCCAGGACTCAAACCCAGCCTCCCTGTCCCAGTCCAGAGCCTGAGCCTCCGGGGCCAGGTGGGAGGCTCCTTCCTCCGGGGGGATGTCTGGCCAGGTAGCCTCTCTCTTGTGGCATCAGCTACACTGCACTCTGAGGGCCTGAGTGGGTGTGCCCCCACCACACTGGACCCTCCTCCCAGACATGCTACGTCCCCAGTGCCTCCCATGGCTGGGCCCAGATCAGGGCTGGCAGATGTTGGCTGAATGAAGCAAAGCAGGAAGGACTTACAGTCCACGAGACCCAGCTGGTCATTGACAAGACCCAGCACCACGTCCACGATGGGGCAGAGCTGTAAGGGGAGACGGCATGAGGTTCCAGTGATGGGGCTAGGGTTGGGGAGGGGAGCACGAATACCGACAAGAGCTAACATTTACTGCCTGCTTGCTCCGTGCCCGGCACGGTCCTCCCCACAACCCTATGGGGAAGGCTCTCTCCTAACCCCCATTTTATAGCTGGGAAAACCAAGACTCAAAGAGGGGATATGATTGTCACGCAGCTCGGAAGTGCCCGAGCTGGGATTCAAACCAGAACTGTGTGACTCTTAAGCTCCACTTCCTTATCCCTTCACTAATCTGTCCCTCCATGGTCCTCCAGGTCCTCCCCAGACCCCCAAGAACATGTCCCAGCCCTCTGGCTCCCTCCGTCCCTCTGGGTCACCTGCATGCCCACAGGGATGGAGGCTGGACTGTGGTCCCTCAGTCTGGGGAAAGTCTGTGCTTCTAGCTTCCCATCCCGGGATGGGTTCTCACCAAGTCAGGGAGGACGTTGGCCAGCACTCGGTTCACTAAGTTGTCCACGAGGTTGGGGAGAAGCCTGCGGAGAGAGGAGTGGAAGGGAGGAGGGAGCTCACCAAGCTTGTCCACACTTGGGGTCCCTGGCCAGGCCCTGAACAGCGAGAACTGGGAAATTGTTCTGAAAGCCAGAAGGACAGTGGCTGGACCTGACTGGACAGGCAACCCTGACAAATTGCTTGGCTTTTCATTCAACATTCACTCGTCTGTCCATCCATCCATCCATCTATCCATTCATCCATCCAACAAACAAATGCTCCTTGAACTCTGCAATGGGCCAGGTGCAAAAGTCATTCCCTCCTGCTCATCTGCCCCTCAGTGGGCTGCTTGCTGCCGCTTTGTGCCGTCTTCCTAAAGGGAAACGAACGTATTACTTGATCCAAGCACCTAGCACAGTGTCGGTGCATAGTAGGTGCTCAATTAATGTTTGTGGGAGGGAGGGGAGGAGAAACCCTGGCCAGCAAAATGTGCTCATGTGGTCCGCAAGAGGAAATGCATTGCTGTTGTTGAAAAGCTTGGGACATGTGATCAGTTCTACAGACAAAGAAACGGGTCCGGAGAAGTGGTCCAGAGTGAGTTCTAAGTCCATCACCAGCTGTAAACTAACTGTCTTAACCAGTTAGTTGAGGAGGGGAGGAGATCACGGTGTTGATGCATAGACAAGACACATAGATGGACAGACTTGTAAGGCAAGCATGTGTTTCCCGAGGCCCCTCAGTGACGAGAGAGTGAGTGAAACATGGCTATCCTAATACAAAGTGTCACGGACAGTTTGGCCCCTTAAAAATCCATCCGTCTCTGCCCCCACTGAACACTCCCTGTGTCCACCCACGTCGTAACTGACCGTTCAATGCTTGCCAGTTTGACAGAGCAAAGAATTTCTTGAGATCGTGTCCTAATTAGAACGTTCCACTATGCGTTTTGGTCTCCTTTTCAAGTGGATGCACACCTCGAGGGGCCTTGTCTTGGTTCCAATTCTCCTTGGAGGGTAAGGCCCTTGAGAATGCACCTGCACGTTTACCCATGCATGGGTGTGTGTGTGTGTGTGTCTATGTGTGTGGGGGGAGGGATCATCTGAATTTAATCTGTGTACATTCAGGGCACAGACTGTTTTCTCTTTCTGGGAAATTATCTGGCAGATACATCAACCCACATTTAAAATGTATATAAACGGTTATTCATTGTAACCTGTTTGTCAGAGCAGAAGATTAGGCAGATTGCCATGTCCCCACCCCAGGGGACTAGACAAATTCATGGTGGTTTGTCCAGACAGTGGAATAGTACATGGCCGTAAAAACAACAAGGAAAGTCTCAATGTTCAAATACAGAAAAATCTCCAAATAGAGTAAGTGAAAAAGACAAAGTGCAAAATGGTGTTTATAGGATGTGCCCATTTGTGTTAAAAGGAGGGTTGGGAATGAGAATCCACATTCATGTTTGCTTCATTTGTAGAAAGGAATTGGAAGGAGAATCAAGAAAGAAGCACAGTGAGCTTGCTGGGGAGGGGCAGATGGGAAGCAGCGTGGGGAAGAGGGCTCTTCAGTCTGTGCCTTTTAATTTTTTTACATATATTTTTAAAGATTTATTTATTTATTTTAGAGAGAGAGAGCAGGAAAGGGACGGAGAGAGAGAGAGAGAGAGAAAGAGACTCTCAAGCAGACTCCCCGCTGAGTGCAGAGCCCAATGCAGGGCTCAATCTCATGACCCTGAGATCATGACCTGAGCCGAAATCAAGAGTCAGACGCTCAACCAACTGAGCCGCCCAGGCGCCCCTATTTTTTTTTATATTTTGAACCATGTATTACCAAATATATTTCCTAGTGAAAATGTGAATGTAAAAATCTGTGAGGTTTCTGGGTCTCCACCTCCTCTCCTCACCAAAATATCAGGGGCCAATTTTCTCTGTCCTTACCTACCCTAGAGCAGAAACAAAGACTCAGAGAAGCTCACATGAATCAGAAATTCTTGAGTTCAAGTGGCACAATGAGTTTTTCTACTTTTAAAGTCTAGGTAGATGGGGCGCCTGGGTGGCTCAGTTGGTTGGGCGACTGCCCTCGGCTCAGGTCATGATCCTGGAGTCCTGGGATCAAGCCCCGCATTGGGCTCCCTGCTGAGCAGGGAGTCTGTTTCTCCCTCTGACCCTCCCCCCTCTCATGTATTCTCTCTCGTTGTCTCTCTCTCAAATAAATAAATAAAATCTTAAAAAAAAAAAAAGTCTAGGTAAGAGGAGCACTAGAGTGATAGTGAGAAAACATTGATAACACAGGAGGGGAAGGAGTAGGGGGTCAGAGGTCTCGAAGAGAGAAGCCAAAGAAGCATTTCCCATGATGAGGGCCAGGGAGTGAAGAGAAAAGGACTCAGCTCTGAGCTGCCCTGATGTGCCCTCATCCAAGACCATCACTGGGGGACAGCGTACCCAATACACAGACACTTGAAACCTCTCTGGACAGAGTATGGGGATTTGGCCACTTTATGAGGAGGGCATAACAGAAAAAAACTCAACCCCTAACCAAGGGTGCATTGGACAGAACCCATTGGGAAATTTCCCCATGAGTTAGGGCTCCAAGAGACACAAAACTCCTGCTAGACATATATTCAGAAAACTCTTAAAATGTACCAGATTCTGTACTAAGTGTTTTGCATTCATTATCTCAATTCCAAAGGGAAAACAATTACCCCCATTCCACAAAGAAGCTGGAGCACAGAGAGGGCAACAGAGTTGCTCAAGGTCACACAGCAAGGAATAGTGGAGCTGAGGTTTGAACTGTGGGCTTCTTCTAGAGCCTTTACTCGTAACCATATGATTTGTCAAAGACAGACCACTTCACCATCCCCCAAGGCACTCCACTGCCCGCTGGTACTCACCCTCGAAGCAGCTTGACTTTGATACCCCCCAGGAGGGTGTCACATCGCTCAATAACTAGCCTAGGGTAGCCCGTGCGGTCCATGGTCAGCCGGACCTTGGCAGTGATGTTCACTTCCACAGCGATGTCCAGGAAGCCAATGAGACTGGAGGAGATCATGGGGCCGGTGAGACTGTGAGTCAGCCTCGACTGCCAGGCAGCTCAGCTTCATTCGGTTCTATGCAGCACCTTGCACCTTGGCCTCTGTCCTTGCTGTCCCTGCCTCTTTCTTTTGTGCATCTATTATGCTCCTTGCTCATCTTTAGGGGTCCCAAACCGGAAGGCTTCCCTGGTCCCTCTACATATGTGAACAAATTCTATCTCTTCCTTAGTCTATGAGAGCTTCCTTCAAAGGCTAGGAACAGGGGTCAATAAATGAACTCTATACATAAATTCTGGTTTCCAAGGTGACTACCCATTGACCTAGCTTTGTAGACATGACCTCATCCCATGGGGAGAAATCAACACCAAAGTCCTCTCTGTGAGGTTCTCGGATAAGCACTACTTTGTGGCAGGCACTCTTCAGGGAGACATTTGCTTGCCTTCCCTCGCCTGTGGCCACAGCCACCTGGAAAAGGAGGTGTCTTTATGTCCATTGCAGGAGAAGACACTAAGGCTCAGTGACATGAAGGGGCTGACCCGAGGTCACACAGCTTTAAAGAGAGTCAGGATTCAAACCCAGGCTGTCGCCTGTCTCCAGCCTCCCAGAGCTTAACAACCATGCAGGCTACCTTCACGGCTGACGGGGACCACAAGATGACCTGAGCCCAAAAGTATATGCCACGTACTGGTAACACATTAGGTCTTATTATTCCCCCCATATTATGGACAAAGAGGCTGAGGTACCGAGAGGGGAAATGACCTGCCCACGATCTCCCAGCCAGGACATAGGGCGATGGGGGCCCCTCCAGGGCTGAGGGTACACACCTCTTTCCGTTGATGGCCACGCAGGTGTACAAACTCAGGTAGACACCCACACCAGGCAGGAGCCTCACGGACACCCGGGGGAGGGTCAACTCCACGATGCGCAGTCTGCATAGGACCCGGGTGGTGAGATGGGGGTCAGCCCCACTGCCTGCCACCCCTTGCCAGGAGTGCCCCGTCTCACACCACCCCCTTTTCTGTGCTGCGTTCATTCCTCCTGGCCCTAAAGAGACCTGAGGTTTGTGGATAGAACTGGGAGAACACAGAGAAGTGAAAGAGAAAGAATGCCATGACCCACCCTCCTATTGGCTGGAGACGCACTGTTTGCATTTCCAGGTTATTTCCTTTGGATTTTTTTTTTCTTGTAAAGATACCGTTCTCTCTATTGTCCCTGCCCCTCCTTGCCTGCTTCCTTCCTACATATTCTCAGATTTCAGATTAAGACCCTCTTCCTCCAGGAAGCCTTCCCTGACCTCCCCCATTATACACATCCCTATTTCCCCCATGAACTGCTTGCTGGTGTTATAACTGTATGATTATTTTCAGGCATCTTTATGAAAGCCCATATATCCCATCAGCCTGCAAGCTCTATGAGGACAAGAGACGTGTCTTTTGGCTAACCATGTGGCCGCGTGCTCAGTGCCAACACAGTGGCCTGCACGTAGGAGGAGCACTAAGTATTTGCTGAATTAGATAGTGAATGTGAGGAGGAGACTGGGCACAGCTGAAATTACTCTATATGTGTAGTTTTAAATCCTTGGGTATTTTCCATCTTGTGACTATGACCATTCTACAGATGAGGAAATCAAGACTCAGAGCGATGAAAAGTGTGGCCCAGAGTCACACACATATATGAAAAGGTGAGTTGAGACTCACATTCAGGACTGCTTAAGGACAAGACCCCCAAGCCGTACAACTTGGGGCTCTCAAGACCTCCAGTCCTGAAGCCAAGCCTTGAACTCCAGGCCCCTGGGTGTGATCACCCAGCTTGTAGGTTCATCATCTGGGCTTGATAGGGAGAGCCTGGCCCCTCCTTACCCGGTGATGCCCTGCACGGTGCTGAGGATGCCACCCTCGCCGAGGACGCCCAGGACTCCACCTCCTCCAAGAAGTCCTCCATCGCCAAGGAGACCACCTCCGCCGAGCAGGCCACCTTGGCCCGACAGGATGCCATCGGCTGCCAGCATGCCCCCAATGCCCAGCAAACCACCTGGGCCCAGTGCCCCAGTGGCTACACCGGGTGGGATCTCTCCAGGCCGCAGCTCTCTCCGGTGAAGCCTGCCCATGGCTGCTGCAACTTCGTCTGACCTGTACCGCCCACGGCCCCTGGGGCTGCCATATGCATTCACAGCATTGCGGTAGTTGCCGTTTCGGAGGTCCCTGTTGCTTCCATCTGGCTCAGGGATCTCACCGTATCTGTATTTGCCCCCCAGCTGAGCGGTGTTGTCATTGGTCTCGATGTGACCATACTTGTAATTACCGCCAAGCTGGTCGCCATTGGTATATTTTGGGGGGCGCTCTCGGACATGCAAATCGTTGTAGGGAACGCCACCGACACCTCGGGAGAATTCAGCGCCTCTGTAGTCATTGTAATGGTGTCGGCCACCGCCCAAAAGCCCCCCCCCACCACCACCCAAGAGACCACCACCACTGCCTCCCAAAAGCCCCCCACCCCTGCTGCCTCCGCCACCCAATAAGCCTCCCCCAACTCCACCCAGCAGGTCATCTTCACCCCCACCACCAAGCAGGCCCCCCAGAAGACCACCGCCTCCACCACCTCCACCTCCATTTCCACCAAGCAGGCCCCCCAAGAGCGGTCCGCCACCATCACCACCAGCTTTACCCATGGGCACCTCTCTCAGGGCTGAGCGGAGAGCATCACTCTGCTGTAGGGTGCCGGAAATGGCTGCAGAGAAGCAAGGGTACCAGTCAGGGCTTTCTCCCACAGCCCCCGGGTACCACCGCTGGAGCACTGCTCGGCTCTCTGGGCCATTCTTCCTAGTGGTAAAACGTCAGGGTCGAATGGGAAGACACCTCCAGACCAATCCAGCCCTGACATCCCAGCAAGCTCACTAGCTGCTCACCTTGACCTGCTCTCACTTTAACTAGATTTCACATCGTTCGCCAAACCTGGAAAGATTTTCTTCTTCATTCTCCCTTTTGAGTGCTCCATACTTCAGAGCCTATAAAGCTTATAAAGCTCTAAGCTCCTGCTTAGACGGGAGTCAGGGCAGGGAGTGTCTTCATTTGCCAGCTGACAAAAATGAGGTCCCAAGAATTAAAGGCAGCAATAATTACAGCTCCTACATTTGAGGGCCTCCCATGTACGAGGAACTGTGCTAAGTTTTCAAAAGGCTTTCTCGTTCATCCTCATATCTGTCCTCCGCGATGGGGCCAAAATCACATCGATTTTGCAGATAAGGAAACTGAGGCTCAGAAAACTCAAGTTGTGGACTTAAGTCCACACAGTCAGTATTTGAGCCCCAGGAAGGATGACTCCAGGACCCCAAGCTCTTAGTTACTGCTGTCTACTGCCTTGGCTCTAAAATCCTTAACATGCTGCCTTGCACACAGTAAGCGCTCAGGAAATGGCAGCCAAAAGCAGAAGGGGGAATAATTTACCCATCCACCTGATGCAGAATCTGCCAGTGACAGAGAGGGTCCTTGGGAACGTCAGAGTTGGCTGGACAGCCCTGCCCACCCCATGTCACCGCTAACCCCCTGCAGGCCTGGACTCACCATTGCTCAGCACGTGTTTGGTAACCCTGAGGACAGTGTTTGTCTCTTGGCGCGTGCCACAGACAGCTGCCACAGACAGAAGAGCCACACACCAGGCCGTCCACATGCTGGCGCAGCTTCTGTGCTGAGGAGACAGTGCATCAGAGGGCTGTGGCTGGGAGTCACCACCCTGGCCAGCAGACGGAGCTAGGCACCCCCTGCCAAGAGTCATACTAGCACCCTGAGACTGAGGCAGAGGGGATGTACTGAGGTCACACATGGGGCAGGTCCAGAATTCCCAATACCACCTTCTAAGTTTTTCAAAATGAAATCAATCTGGAGACATAAAGCAGATTCATTAACCAAACTGTCCTAGAGCCATGAATGTCTCATTATCCCCCAAGATGAAATTTCCAAATGGAGCATCAGGGAGAGGGGTCATGAGGATTCCAATCAAAGTAGCACCTAGTAGCAGACAGCTTCTAGAGGAAATCTCTCCAGCATCTCCCCCTCTGTTCACCCACCAACCCATCCATCCTCCCATCCACCCATTCATCCTTCCACCCACCCATCTTTCCATCCATTCATCAATTTATCCGTCCATCTATCCTTCCACCCATCCACCCACCCATCCATTCTTCCATCCATCCATCCATCCATCCATCCATCCATCCTTCCTTCCTTCCATCCATCCATCCATCCATCCATCCATCCACCCATTCTCCCATCCATCCATCCATCCATCCATCCATCCACCCATTCTCCCATCCATCCATCCATCCATCCATCCATCCATCCATCCATCCTTCTATCAGTTCATCCACCTATCAACACATTCATCTAGCCACCCTTTCAATGCATCCAGCCAGCCAGAAAACACTCCTACCTCTTTGGAGGAGACAGTTCTACACCATGTAGTTAAGATTAAGGGCTCTGGATCAGAGCTATCTAGGTTCTAATCCTTAGACAAGAGACTTTACCTTTTTCAACCTCTGCCTCCTCATCACTAACGCATTGTTTCTGGTATGTGGTAGACACTCAATAACCAGCAGCTGTTGTTATTGTCTTGGTACTATTATTTCAGAGCCCTAAGGAATGGGTGTGGACTGTTATGAGATTGGGGAGAAGGAAAGCATGCATTTTGGGATGAGCTGTTCAGCCTCTAAGAAATTTTATGTTACTGCCTCGATGCCCTCCATGCCTTAACTCTGCACTCTTCACTTCTCTCACTCCATTAATTCAGTCTACCCAGTTGTCAGCTTCAGAGGATCATTGACTCCCCTCTGGGCCAAATTGTGAAATCACTAGCTTCAGCCCCCTCCACTTACATACCCTCTTCTCTTCTCCCGGCCACCACTTCTCTTGAAGTTCACAAAGCCCCCAAGTTTTTTCCCCCACTCCCACCTACTTCTGGAATATTGGAAGCACTCATTTAAACTAGAATATGAGGACTAATATGTGCAAAAATATATTTTTTTCTGGCTTCTTTACCTCATCCTAACCTACTACTTAGAAAGTTCTGTGTACAAAGAGGGATCACCATCTTCAGTTAAAAAGATGGACACCAATGGAGGGATTTCTGGCAAACAGCTGAGGAGTCTCAGAGAAGTAGCAAAGGTGCCAGGTACCCAAATCCCTTGGAAATATAAGTGCAGCTCTGTTAACTCATGTAACTGGTACGGCTCAGACCCTTTCGTTGATCCCTGAGAGGCTCTCCTGACTGTGTCCATGTTATAGGCAAGACAACAGAGGCTCAGAGAGGGGTCACTCTGACAGGTCTCCAGTCTGAGACTCTCCTCAGTGCCTCCCAAGGCCTCAGCTTCCCACTACCCAGACACTCAATGGGGAAGGGGCCCCTCCTTACCCCTGCAACGTCCCTGCAGCTCAGCCTTGAGAGGTCCTATTCACCGGGCCCTCTGCTTTTGGCTGAGTCTAGTTACAGGGCAGCCTTATATAGCAGCTGGGTTGGAGCCCAGACCTAGAGAGGGAAACACCATGTAATTATGAGAGATTGGAATCCAGATGTGCTCTGCAAAGCAGGCATTGAGCCCCAAAACCACAAAGGTTTGCGGTTTGTGGTGAATTCTGAGAGCCATGTTCAGCTCCGGATAGTGTCACATGAGCTGAGGTTCATCAGCCTCTGGTCTGGGCACATTGCTGGAGACTCCAGCGAGGCAGGCCCCCAGATGGGAGAACTAGGAACACCTACAGATGCATCTGGTTTCCAGCTCTAAGTCAGGCACTGCCTTCTCCAGACGGCCTGGGCAGCCAGGAAGCACCCTGGGACTGGACCCAGCGTCAGGCTGACTCAGGTTCAAACTCAGGCTCAAGCCCCAATTCACTGCATGACCTTGGGCCAGCCATTTCCCTTCTCTGTGCCTCTCATCATTTCCATCTGTTAAATGGATAGAATGCCTGCCTCCTGGGACTGATTGGAAGATTCAGGGAGATGCATATAGGTCTGACTCTTCAAACTTGGGGCTGGTGTAATGAGAACAAGTAGATGGGCTTCTTTTGACCTGCAGAAGATTTTCTCCCAATCTTTCATTATGAAATATTCACACATACAGCGAAGTTGAAAGAATTGTACCCTAAAGACCCATACGCTTGTCACCTTCCACCCACCGGCCATCCCCGCCATTAGCACGCTGTTCTTCCTGCTTCATCACATATCGACCCATGCATCCAAGAATCTGTCTTTTTAAAAAATGTATTTCAAAGTAAACTGCAGGGAACAGTACATTTCCTTCTGAACACTTCAAAATGCACGCCATTGTGATTCTTTTCTGTGGATATAAAGTTTACCTACAGTGAAATGCACCGATCTCAAGTGTTTATTTGTTGAATTTTGACAATTTTGTACAACCTTGTAGCCCACACCCCTATCTCGGTATAGAACATTTCCATCACCCCAGAATGTTGCCTCCTGCCCCTTCCCAGTCAATGCCTCAGAGGCGGCCACTGTCCCTCCAAGACCTGCAGGGACACAGCCCAGGCCCCGGCCTTGGCATCCAAGGTGGGTCTGCTTCCTGCACTCAGTCCTGCTCCTCTCTGCACCCCATGCTGCTCATCACCCCCCTCCTTGTTCCCTGTCTCTGGGTCTTTGCACATACAACATCTGCCACAGGATACCCTTCTCCAGACTCCACTGGTTATAACTGTACAGAAATGTCAGCTACTCAGAAAGCTTTCTGTGACAACCCCAACCCTGACCCTTCCTCTGGCCCGCCCAGGGCCCTCTGCAGCCCATGGGAGATGGTGTTGCCGTGGGCAAACCAAGCCTGTGCCCACTCCCAGCCAGCACGGACACAGCTGCCCCTATAGGGAATGAATGAACGTGAGCTCTCACTCCCCACTGGGTGAGGAGTTCTCCCAGTCTTTGCTTCCCACCCACCCCCAGCCCCCATCGGGGTCCTGCCTCCATGTTTCATTGATGCCACCCCCTCCCTGCCTCCACCAGGTCCTCCTGAGAACTCCTCGGGGGGCGAGGGGGCATTTCTATCTTCCCATCAAGGTCTGCTCTCAAATCAGGCTGAGAATAAACGTGTTTCCCTGAATTCTGCGAGGAGATTGCTTCCTCCTCCCTCCCTGGCGGCAGTGGGTGCAGAGTTCTGCCTAGCTCACTGTCGTCACTGGCCCCTGGGCCTGCCCCACTCTGGGACTCAGTTTCCTCATCTGCAGTGGGTGCATCACTGAACAGGCTTTGGAGCTGGATGCTGGATTTGAATTCTGCTGCCATTGCTCTCTGAGCTTCTGTTTCTTTGGGTTTGAGATGGTGACCTCAAAAGGGTGTTGTGAGGATTGAGGGACTTAATCACGCAGGAGGTGCTTAGCAGGTGGCATTTTTATCCCCATCATCCGGGTCCCTGCTGGTTCCACATGGCAACAAATCTGAGCAAGCCGTGAATGGTGTGGGGAGGGGCTTTAGCCCCAGCCCTGGGCTACCTGATCATTTGTGGCTCTAGGGCAGGGACCCCGAGAAACACACATACCTGCGTTCCCCCCGTGTCCTATCTGCTCTCTCCACCCCACACAAGCCCTTCTCCAGGCCCTCAGTCTGGCCATCGGAGGAATAGGCCTAACTGCACTGCCCTAGCTGGGTTTGGGGGATTACACAGGAGACGTCTGCAATGTGCCTGGAGCCTCGTGGGGGCTCAGTACACAGCAGCCCCCTTTTTGGCTCCCCATTGTCTGGCATTGAGTGTGATATAAATGCTTGTTAAACCAATATATTCCCTTTTAAAACTGAAATAGAATGCAAGAGGGCAGTGGTGCTCTGTGTCCCGCCCACTCCCCTACCCCCCCACTGCCGGGGTTCCCGCAGGGACCAATGCGCACTGGAAACTAGAGGGCAGCGCACACGGGAAAGTGGTTGGCTATTGTCCGTCACCTGAGGCTCCGTGCCCTCCCCGGTCCTGAGACCAGCCAGACCCTGGTGGCCATGAGGCTGGCTTGTCCCCTGCAGCCCCAAGAGGATTAGCACAACTTTGGCGCCAGGGAGATCGCCTGGGATTAGTGTCCAAAAGGCACCTTTGTCTGAGGCTGAAGCAACCAGGCCCCGGGAGGTGACGGACTCACCCAAAGGTGACTCAGTCGTGCAGGGGGCCATGTGGGGGGCTCAGGCAGGGAGCTGAGGGACCAGGAAACAGAACCAGTCCCATCACCGCCCCCTCCTTCAGCCCGGTCTCTCTCATGAGCTGTCAGCTGCCAGGGCTGCAAGGGGGCTGCCCGTGGAGGGGCTCTCTACACATCGTATTTCATCCCCCTGCTCTAAGTGCAGAGGTTCAGAGCCTGGGCTCTGGAGTCAGGGAGCCCAGGTTCAAATTCCTGGCCTTGTCACTTCCTAGCTGTGTGGCCAGGGGCCAGTCACTTAACCTTTCTGTGCCTCAGGGTCCTCAACTACAGATTGAGGGTAAAAACAGCTCCTAGAAAGCAGGGTTGATTCAAGTAGTCGAAAACATAACGTATCTAAAGCACCTGGAACAAGAAACAATAAATGCAGCAAGTATTTTATAGCATCACAGGGAAAAGCCCAGGCTTTGGAACTAGAGTCAGAAGGATCTGGTTCAAATCCTGGCTCTATCACTTAGGGGCTGGCCAGTTCCATTTCTCTGAGCCTGTTTCCTCCTCTGTAA